GCTGAGAGACTGTACTTTATGTCTAACTTCAGGTGCCTGTTAGTAGGGGAACCAAATAAAGTGGTATGAAATCTGTTGCCAAGTCTCAATGGAGAGCTCTTTTCAGTTCTATCTGGACCCCAAACCACCTTGTAGGTGTACTTTTGGTCAGCGGTTCTGTCTATGCAAAGAGCAATCGAGACTTGGAGCTGTGTGGTTTTCCTGTAGGAAAGAAAATTATCCTTGTTGCACCCAGCTGCCTGGGAAATTTAATTGCAAAAGAGTTTGGTGTGGATGTGCCCTAGAAGCGCAATTGCTCTGTGCTAGTGCCTGCTTTTACACATATCAGTGACATTGGTGAAGTCACTGGGTGCACGTGGGTAGGAATGTTCCCTATAAGTTGTAGCTCAGCTGCATGTCAGGCTCACTCCTATAGAAATATTGCCTTTGCACCTGCTGAACTAATCATTACCAGTGACTCTTTACCACTTCACCATCCTTTATAGACATTTCCCCTTAAGTGCTGGAAGGGTGTGCTGTTATTAGAGCCGATGTGACTCAAATTGCATTTGGTGTTCTCAGACGAGCATGGGGCCAGGGATGCAGCTGACCTGAGCCAAAGCTGTGTGCTTTGCCTTCAGCCAGCTATGAGCAGTGTGTGGGTAGAGCACAGCACAGAACTGTGCCTCATTGAGATTCTGAAGATGTACTAATCACATCACCTACCCCGCCTTGCCTTCCTGCATCAAAGACTTGTCTTCTCAATCCTGATTTCTTAATAAAGATCATGTATTTTATTTATATATTTATTTTACTAATGGAGCTTCATGTTAAATTTAAAGTCCATTAGAATCACTGCTTACAGACTGCCCTTGAAAGTATGTTTGATTGCAGACTCATCCGAGCGTGATATAGAAAGCTCTCAAGCATTAATGGATTTGGGAACACAAAGGTGGCTTCACTGGCTTTTTTAGTCCTTCGGTGGCATCTAAAATATCTCCTAGGGAAAATGCATAATGTAAAAAGCCTAAAGTGTTGAAAGGGTGCATTTGGAAGGGACAGGAGGAGAAGTCTGAGCTCTGTGATTAAATCCTCTTGTGTGATCAATGTGAAAATGACAAAAATGTTCGAAACTCCAAGTGAGAAATCCATCTCCCCTGCACAAAGGACATGTAATTGGGCTTTATGCAGGGAACTAAGCCAGGTGGTGTTGAATTCACCTACTCTGTTTGTGAATGTGGGTTAATGAAGGACCCTCCCCAGCATAAATTCCAGACCATGGCCATGGAAATAGCCACTGCTGCCCTTGGCACACCTGCTGGGGCTCCCAGGAGGCTGTGACCACAGCAAGTGTGTTTAAATGACCCTATCTATAGCTCTGGGTGGTTTAAGGTACAATTGCAAGCACACCATGCACTGCTGACAGGTCATTTGGTACAAGAGTCTTCCTCAAATGACCTAAGCACCTCTGTCCTCTTTCTGCACCCTGCCTTAGCTTCCTAAAGCTTACCCCCATTTCATGTAGAGGTTCCTATAGGAGTATGAGCTCAGTTGTTCTGCTTCTTTACCCAGACAATATGAGATAAAGACAATCTTAGTGGTCTTAACTGTAATTCCCTACGTCTCCACTTGCCCTCCTAATGGTTTCCTAAATCTAAATGAAGAAGCCTGTGGGACAGGGTTATCTGCAGTCTTCAGTGATGGATCGGAAAGTGGCCTGAGTTGTCTGACACAGAAAGCTTTTTTTTCTGCCAATTTAAATTCTACGTTGTACATGATGAATAGCCTGGTAAAAGTGATATTCCTCCAGTTGGTTGTCGATGTGAATTGATTTAAATTTGAGATTTTTTTTTTCTGATTTGTGTATTATTTTTTTTGGAAAGAGTCCTGAGACATCAGTTTCTATAGAGGAAAAACTGTATTGTCTCAGAGGAGCATTTCTCAGCTAGTGCATCTGGGAACACAGCAAAACAGAGCTCATAGAGCCTAATATCCTCATATTCCTTGTGAACAATATTTTAATGTTAGAATTGCTTTACAAGAGGAGGTTGAAGTTCTTGATTTCTTGTTTTTCAGAATGCTCTTTTTCTAAGCTTGAAAATTAAACTTTATTCTGCTCTTATTTTTTTTTTTTTTTTTTTTTTTTCTGAGAACTTAGCTTTGCCCTTGTAAATTGAATATAAAATTTGATTTAGCTGAAATAGCTGTGCAGGGTTTACATAAAAGGGAGATATTTTGTGTATTCAGGGCTGTCTCTGATAATGACAGGAATAAAGGAGGTTAGATATAAGTTGCTTAAACTGTCCAATGAAGGTTTCATAAGTGCTTGAGAATATGGTAGCTCTGAAATTTTTTAAAAGATGCTTTAATAGGCCCTGGAAAATTACTTTCCTAATAGCTATATATGAGAAATGTTTGCTGATGGCTCCCCTGGACTAGCAGCTGAATGTCTTCATTTACAGGTAACGGTTGGGATTTTTTTTTGCAAAAAGCCACTGACTGCTGTATCAGTTTTGTACCTGATTATTTGTGTTCTTTCTGAGGTTACCTTGCCCTATAGTTACTCTATTTAGAAAATTACAGTAAAAATACATGAAGAAATAAGCAGCTATTATCCTCCTAGAAGAGTTCTGGGCTATTTTGTTCACCTTCCCCTCCCTGCTGAAATATTGAGGCAATCAGCAGAGCTATTGTTTTTTGACACGCTGCATGCATTCCCTAACTGGTGCCATTCATTCCTCTGATTGAACAAGAAGCTCTTTCATTTTTCAAATGAAGACTTTTCTTGTGGGTGAGTGCATATTCTTCAGTGGGGTACAGTAACACCTGGGCTAATTTTAAAAAACCCAGCTTGATAACCAGCAGCAATCTGGTTTTGGCACCACAAAGCTGTCTTTTGAAGGGGTCAAATTAGCCTGTGGGGAGCTTTAATACTATTAGTTCCCAGTTAAAACTGCCTTGAGAATCCTCTCTGCATTACACTGCACTCTGAAGACTGTACATGCCCTGGTAGCAAATTGTCTTGCATTCTGTAATCTTTGATTATACCAATGGATGCTGTAGAATCAGAAAGCCTGTGAGATAAGCAATCAACTTATCACTTAAACATTTTTATTAGCTCTTAAAAGTTTCCTTGATAAATTCAGGAGAATAGTGTCCTGTCCTAAGAGTGGCACTTCTCTTATAAGTCATTAAGGAGTAGTGGAAAATACTACATAGAAGAGGATAATGCTTTTTTCATAGAGAACAATACAATAAGTAAACATCTGAAGTCTGAAGATTATTTTTGTTTCTAAATAGCCCCAAGGAACAGCTCAGTGAGACTCCATCATGAGAAAGGCTAAGTGGGGTGATGCTTCCCTTTTTGGCATGGAAATGATTAGCAAAATTCCATGACCACAATTAATCCCTACCTCAGGTCTCTTAGGTGAATCAAGCCTCAGAGGAGGAGCCCATCAGAGCAAATACTGCGTAGTTGAGGGTGTTAAGCTAATACCAAATGCATATGGATGCCAGCCTAGTTCAAGCAAACACTAAGGGGTACCAAACTGCTAGGACCTTGCTGGTAGGTATTGAGGCAAGTAAAGATTTTATGTTCATGGAAAAGGAACTCAAAACCCAACTCAGTTAAGGTTTCCAAATTCAAATATTGAACAAAATCAAATATTGCTAACTTCAGCCAGAGGAAAACTTCCTGCTGATGATAAAGAACACTGAATTTGGTTTTAGTTTTGCTGCTCAGGGTTAACTGATTTTATCTTTACCTGACTCTAAAATACAGATCAGAAATACAGTGTTTGGAGCATTGTGGTCGCCATTTATATGTAGTTCCCTCTTGCAAACACCTTTGGAGAATGCAAAAAGGTTATAAAAAATAACACAGTTTTAAGATGTAGAGGGAAAACCATATGCAAGTAAAACTTGGAACACCACTAGGGGCTGTTTTCTCTGACAGACCAGCTTAACAGCATTCTAGGGGCAATATATTTTAAAAGCAGCTGCACCAGCCTTGCACAGGTTGCACTTGCAGTCGTTTCCTTTTGCATATGCAAGGACATAATTACATGCCACACAATGCACTTTGGATTTCCACAACTGAGCAATCCTACACGTGTATCTGGGATGCTAGCCTTCATGTGGAAATTGCTTGCATATTGCAGTCATTCTATATTTAAAAGTGGTCACATACACACACATGCACAAAAGAACCCCTTCAGCACACCATCAGTGCTCATTACGGGTATTGTGTCCATTGGCACAGACGGAAAACCTGCGTGGGTACGTCAGCATATTAATTCTGGAGAACCGAAGGCTGTGAATTCAAAATCTGGATTTGATCGCTTGAAGGGATTTGGGAAGGCAGTGTTTACACTGATTTTTAGTGTTTCCAGCACGCACTTATATTTCAGGTATATCTGCAGCCTGTTGCAGTATGTCCCAGCCAAAGAAAACTGGGATTTGTTTTAATCCTGCACACTGCCTTCAAGCACCCTAATTAACCCTTCCACAGTAATACTGTTGCATATAACTTGGTTGGCATTCCTGTGTATAGGATGGGTTTGTTTCTGGAAGTCGATTTGCCTTAAGAAATAGGTGTTACATTTTTCTTTTATTGAGGAAAACTAACCAACAAATGGAAATGATTGCTGGTTAACATGTGTGAAGGTCAAATCCACTGAAGGTATTTGAAAAATAGTTTTTGATCCATTAAAATTTGTGCAGCAAACAGAACAATTAATTATGACAATTTCTACTATAAGGGGAGAAAACAAAACAAAATACCTTTGTGTTTTGAAGACATGCTGCTTGTCCTTATTTGGATACAAGACTTCAAAAAGGATCTTGCTTCGGTGTCTGTAGATAATAGGCAGTAGCTTCTGCTTTGAGTTTACTTTCTCACAAACTTCTGGAGCTGCAAAAGGAAAAGAGAGGGAGATGAGAACGTGTAAACAGAAAATGCAGCCAGCAATGTATTTTTCAGGAGAACGTGGGACTACATTTGACCTACATATATTTTGCAGGAGGAATTGGGTGCCTTGGTTATGACAGAGGACAGACTCGGAAATGTCTTGATGCAGTGGAGATTTATAACCCTGATGGAGACTTTTGGAGAGATGGACCTCCTATGCCTTCTCCTCTTCTCTCCTTACGAACAAACTCTACCAGTGCAGGTTGTGTGGAAGGGAAGCTGTACCTTTGTGGAGGATTTCATGGAGCAGGTACTAAAATGAGTCCAATATTCCTTGTGTAGTTAAAGTCACTTTCACAGGATACAGACTGATCTGATGACTGATCAACCCTATCAGGTGGCACAGGCATGCCCTGGAATCACAAACATGATTCTGCCCTTTGGACTGCCAACCCCTAATGTCAACATGAATTGTGTTCTGTTTAACCTTTGCTTTTTTCCTTAACAAAACATGAACATTTAAGGATGTTTCCAGTATGCACTAAACCTCTCCAAATCTAAAACCTCAGTAGAATTATTCTGGATTTATATCCAGAGCTACAGATCAGGAGCTTAGTGTTTCATGGACATTAAAGAACTTGGGCATATTTGTTGAACGTTAAGGCCCTGTCCATCTGTACTTTGCCACTCTATCTCTGCCTATTTACTTACATGATTTTTGTTATTGCTGTTGAAAAAGATTGTGTATTTAATGAATACTCTGCGTAGGGAATTGAGATGCAAACAGACTAAAGTTCCAGATCTGATGATTTTAAATAATCCTAGCCTCATGGAGACCTTTCTTCTTTTTTCTTCTTCCTTCCAACTGTGCTCAGCTCTTTCTAAATCTCCAGTGCTTATAACCATTATTTTTTTTTCATTATAAATGCAAAGAGTCACAAAAGAAGCACACTTAAACTCTTCTGCTACATAGAGCTGCTACCCTAATTTCTTTCTAGGAGAAAGGAACAGCACAGATGCATCATCCACTACTAATAAATGTCATGTCAGACTCACTGTTGTCCAGGAATGGCCACGTGGTATCACTGGGTGACGTCTTCCTATTGCACTGATCCAGTTCCATTGACTTGTATAACAACCTCTAAACATAAAGCCACTGTTATTTTAGAATGATGATTTTCATCAGCTAGTTCACATCTTGCTTTCTAACCCCTTTATTGGCTGCTGTTTGAGGAAGCTGCTTCCTGAAAACAATTGTTTGGCAGCTTCTAACAGGCTTGTTCTCGTGTCATCTCTGATAGAAGTTGTGTGACTTCAGAGCAATTATGGTTATGACACATCACTGTGTTTCCATAGTGCCACCATAGTTGTCTTTTTCTCAGCAATATTATGAAAAAGTCTAAAGTTAGTGGGTACAAATCTCAAAAGGCTGATAAAGGGAAGTGGTTGAGTCACCATCCCTGGAGGGATATAAAAGACATGTGGATGTGGATCTTAGGCACATGGTTTAGTGGTGGGCTTGGCAGCACCAGGTTAGTGGTTGGACTGGATGATCTTAAAGATCTTTTCCACCCTAAACAATTCTATGACTCTATGATCATTATCATTGATAAATTAAGCAATTTTGTTCAAGATGACTAAGAGATTAATATGAGATTTTTCTGACTAGGGAAGCTTCAGAGCCATAAAAACACTTTCTGTACAATGCCACCATGTTCTGTCACTGAGTCATGTAAAAAGAGTGGTTGTTCTGGGAGAGTTTGAAAGTCCTCCTGTGGATTTCAGGAAGGCCATCTTTTGTATGTTTGAATAATGCCAGCTCAATGGGGTCCCAATTCCTCACTCTACTATTACAATCTATATAATTATGTGTAGAACTCTCCTGCACTAATACTGTTATTTGGATTGAAAAACAAGACGTCAAAGTTAGAAAATGCCAGTTTTGCAGTTACCTGTGCAACCTGAATTCTGACCCCCTATGTGTGTGTTCTGTATACCTGTAAAGAAGTAGCATATGATTGTGTTGTTAGATGTTATAGTGCCTATTAACAGGGGAGCCAAAATAAGATTCTCACTGTCAGCTGTAAATCAGGTATAACCACATATTTGAGGAGTTGAGAGGAACCTGTGCCCTAAAAAAAGGCTTCTTAATGTGACTTTCCAGTTATTAAAGGAAAAGGGCTTTCTAAATCTTGACAACAGTAGCAGCTTCTAGCTACCATCATGAAGAAAAAGATGAGTGCAGGCCATATGTTGAACCTGAAGAGGTTATCTAGCTGGCCTCTCTTCCTGACCCCATCTGCTTTGTGTGCTAGAAAGGGCTCTTGCCTGATGTGCTCTTTAGGGATGAAGGGTGGAGTGAGAGATGGTTGTTACTGTCATATGGGAGCTTGGAAAGGGTGGCTTGATTCTGCATTTTCACAATTACAGCTGCTCAGCAGCTTCAAGGTACAGAACAGCATGTGCTGCTACTGCTTTAGTAGCAGACAGGGTTATTTTAGAATGTGCTTGTTTGGTTTTAGTCTTTTGGGCTTCTTGGCATGTCACTTTGGTTTTTATGAGGAATGCAACCAAGAGAGGATATTTCAGTTTTACAAAACATTGTAATTTAGCTTCAACCAAGTGGAGTTCTTGGAACAAGCTGAAAGCACAGCTGTAGTCTTTGGGTTTTCTGCCTGCTGAACGCTAAAGGGCTGCTGGGAACATTCAAGAAAAAGTGCTTCAGAGAAAAAAAAAACCAACAAACAAAAGCAAACAAACCAAACAAGAGCAAATAAGCCAAAATTATTGCTGCAGTGAAAAGTCTTAGCCTAAGGGGCTGAAACCAACCCCTTGTATACTATAGATCTGTTCCAAACTCTTCAGCCTCAATTTGCCTTTGCATGTGCTTAAACCCACTCTTGATCCAGCAGTGTGAAATTTAGCCCGCAAAAGACATTGTTGCATCTTAATTTTACTGGTATGTATCATGCTCTATATGCCTTTCTGCATGGCTATAGACCTAAATCACAGAATCAACTAGGTTGGAAAAGACCTCTGAGATCAAGTACAACCTTTCACCTAACATCATCTTGTCTACTAGACCATGGCACTGAGTGCCACATCCAGTCTCTTCTCAAATACCTCCAGGGACAGTGACTCTACCACGTCCCTGGGCAGCCCATTCCAATGCCCAGTCACTCCCTCTGTAAAGAACATCTTCCTAATGTCTAACCTAAACCTCCCCTGGCACAGCTTAAGACTGTGCCCTTTCACTCTCCCTAATACTTCTTAGCCTTTCCACTTCTTCCTTAGGCTCTGCCACTGAACAGAGCAGATCATTCACCTGATCACACCTTACAAGGGTGTCTTTTGTACTGTCCTCTGGTGCTAATGCCAGGCTCAGACACTCCCTGCAGCCGGTGACCTGGACTGCTGTGTCCTTCCTGGGGGGTTCTGCCTGGGTCAGCACACTTCTGCTGGCAGCAGCTGCAGCAGCAATGGCTTTTGATCATTTGCTGGATCTAGTCAAGTTGAGGGGAGGGAAAAAAACCCAAAAACCAAAACACCAGAAAACCAAACCAGCCAAACAAAAACCATGAACCCCCCCCCCACACACACCTATCACAAAAACCCACCAGCAAGAGCTGGCAGAATGGCCGTGCCCTTCCTGCTCGCCGTGCCTGCGTGAACTGCCGGGCAAACTGCCGTGCCAACTGCCCTGCAAACTGCCGTGCTACCCCCCGCCTGGCTGCTCCTGTTCCCAGCACTCCCTTGAGCTATTTAAATTACCCTCAACTGGGCCTGGAAACACACCTTGCTCATCTGATTGGCTCCCAAGAGCAGCCAAGTCCAGTCCCAGTGGATTATTAGAGTCCCGAGATGCTGTACACAAAGCTGAAAAGCAGCTGTCAACTGCTCAAAGGGCCTTAAATTTGGATGATAAGGTCAATACTGCTGAGCTACCATCTTTTCTGAGTCTCATGTGACAGCTGAATTCTTGTGATGGCAGGATTCCCATTCTGTATATATTGCCTCTCACAAATCTTTGTCTGCTTGAAGGGAGGACAAGTGGTGCAGCCTGAACAGTCCCCCTGTGAGCAGAGGAAGAAAACCTGCAGCTACTCGAGAGGAAAGTCAGCTTGGCCAGCTGAAAGTAGCAATAGCAGTCTTTCTAAAAGATGAGTGAGCTCCAACGTGTGCTCAAGCTTCCTCTGAACTGTTGTTCAATTGAGGTATGTTGGTGAAGCTTGTAAGGCTTCCTCAAGTTAGAAGTTTGCTCAAAGCCTGCCCATGAAAGAGGAAAGGGGTTTGATTCAGCTGAAGCTTAGACACTTCTCTGCAGTGCCTACACTAAGACCTTAGTGACCTCAGGCTTCCTGCAGCAGATGGAGAAGAACAGACACTTCAGAGACATATTCAAGTCCTTGGTGCTTTACATCTGCTCTGAAAGACCAGAAGGCAATTCAGAACCCTGAGGAGCTCTCCTGTCTCTTAAAGCTTTGTGTTTTGATCAGAGTATGAGGGGTTCTAACCTGGCTTACCTAAGCCAAACGCATCAGGATGTTGGTGTCTATGGTTTGATGGTATAAACACCCCTGAGACCTCTGTGTTGTATCACTAGCTGATGAATGTTGTATGCTCTTACAGTCACTATAACTACCCAAAAAGAGCAATTCTTGTTCTTTATTTTTCTCCTTAGCAAGACTTGCAAAACTTCATCTGTTAGCCAGTAGTTTATACAAATTAGCTCATTTTCTACTAAAACTGCTATGTCAAACAGGAACCATTAATCTGCTTGTCTCAGCTCCAGCTCATGTAGCATTGTGTCGTGAATGTTGTCATTTTTCAGCAATGTTCTAGCATTCATCAGGATAATCAGACATGTTTTAAATGGCTGATTTTGTCCATTAGTTTATAGTGCTGTAGAGTGGAAACATTATCCCTAGTATGAGTACTCAGCAGGGCTCAGTGTGCAAATGGCCAGCAGCTTTCCACTAACTGCTAAAATACACTGCCACTTTTCCTGCTGTAACTATGGATTTTAAACCAGCCTTTGCAGTCTGACTGTAGTGTTTTTGTTGACATGTTTGATTTCCTTTGCATCGAACTAAAACCAGTCACCTGCACAGTCTGACAGCTACTGACATCACCCTGTGCCTGGTAGAAGGAGCCTCATTAGTGTGGCTCCCTGAAGGAGGGGGGAGCAGCTCTTCAGGTATGCAGAATTACACCCTTATAAAATGCCTACCATACTGGGTTCCCTTTCTTTTGGACTGCTTTTGAGCATTATAAATCTTTTTTTTTTCTGGTGAAAATAATGAAGGCAAG